ATTTTGATTGATGGAAGTTTGTCTTTTGAGTGGTGACTCAGAAAATAAATCATTCCCCTTGCCATTCATTGAGTGCAATTCTGCAGCACAAAGCCGGTGTGGTTAATCAAAGCTCCAAAGAGCAACAAAAAGCAACAGAACCGAGAATGAGGAGGATAGATATAAAGGATAAAACATAATAAACAGGATTATTTAGGAGCCAACCAGAGCAAAAGCAAAATAAAAACAGCTGCAAATAAGCAGTGCGCTTACTGCACCAGAACTAGACAGCTCAGGTTTTTGTTCTGCTTCTCAACACATATGCACGGATGTGAGAAGAGCCTCACACCTCTGCAAAATATAACTCTGTCGAGGAGTCTGATTTTACAGGCTTTAGTATGTGACTAACCCTTGCTGGGGTCAGTGGAACTTTCTGAGTTGAGTAAGTAAAGCCTGAAGGATGCTTCTGTTGTGAACACTATTTCCAAATCAGCTTGCAGTCCAGCTGGTATTGTACACTCAGAAGGCTGTCAAAAATAAGAATGGCTATTGCCATTAATTTTCCTGGAGGAAAAGAAAAGGGGGGTGTGTGGGGGGGAGGATATGCAAAGAGCAAGATGATGAAAAAATTGAACTGAGACAGAAGCATTGCATCATAGGACAAGAAAGTCCTTTCCAAATAGAAATGGTTTAGAGCAGAAGGGTTTTATGCTTTTATGGAAGGACCAGGATTGAAGGAATGGAAAGGATAGTACTAGAAGCTGGTTTTTTTTGTTTGTTTGTTTTGTTTTGTTTTGTTTTGTTTTGTTTGGGGGGGGGGGGGGGTTGGTCCAGCAAGTTTATGAAAGACTTTAAATTATGAGGAGCAATTGTGAGCTAGAAACTGAAAGAAACGGGTGGTTGAGTATGTAACTGAGACGAGTGTGATTCTTTCTATGCACTGTGTGCCAGAGAAGTCACAAAAAAATGTTAAGTGTTGATGGCATGGATGGAATCTTAGCAGAAGCAAAATCAAGACATGAGGAGTAGCAGATAAAAAATAATAATCTATCAGAGAAGCACTGTGAAGCAAATTCCCTGCCAACACAACTGCATTGAAGACAAGGTATCTTAACCATCTGGGAATTTGGCCATAAAAAGGAGATGACAAGAATTGGATGTCCATGGAGAGGTGCTGGAAACTTACTTAAGTCAGTGAAATGCAACAGAGAGAAAGAGAGAAGAGAGAGAGAGAGAGAGAGAGAGAAAGAGAGAAAGAGAGAAAGAAGAAAGAAGAAGAGAAGAAAGAAAGAAAGAAAGAAGAAAGAAAGAAAGAAGAAAGAAGAAGAAAGAAAGAAAGAAGAAAGAAAGAAAGAAAGAAGAAAGAAAGAAAGAAAGAAAGAGAAAGAAAGAGAGAGAGAGAGAGAGAAAAGAAAGAAAGAAAGAAAGAAAGAAAGAAAGAAAGAAGAAAGAAAGAAAGAAAGAAAGAAAGAAAGAAAGAAAGAAAGAAAGAAAGAAAGAAAGAAAGAAGAAAGAAAGAAGAAAGAAAGAAAGAAAGAAAGAAAGAAAGAAAGAAAGAAAGAAAGAAAGAAAGAAAAAGAAAGAAAGAAAGAAAGAAAGAAAGAAAAAGACCTAACATTTTTTGGTAGTGACCTTTCCAGTCTTCTTACAAACAGCAAGAGGGAGAGAAAGAAAGGGCTGAGGAGAGTTAAATTTATAAAGACATGAATGAATTGGGAATTGAAGCACTGTTATAGAGGAATGTGTATGTGAATGGTGCAAATTTACAGGGCTATTTTTGATGAACTGTAGGAGGAATTTCAGTTTTTCAGCACCTTTCTTTACGAAAAGAAAAACCTTCATCTGGTGGGAATTCAGTCAATTTCCTGATGTTTTTTTGGCCATTTCCTAAGTTGCAAGGTTACTAATGGTAATTACAGACCCTGTTTGTACCTTGTGGCTCTAACTGTGCAGAAAGGTTTTCTTGGCACGTGTGCTTCTCCTGCTAGTGGGTTTATAGATGACTGGCCCTTCATAAGAATTACTGCAATACTCATGAGCAGATAGAAGCCCCCTTTCCTCATTTCTTTTTTTGTAGAATTCAGTAACAGCTTTTCTTGCTCAAATTTTGCTATCTCCAGCCCTCATGACAATAAACCACAATGTCAGTGTTCGTTATAACAGCTCTTACTACAGCGTCCTTGTGAAGGAGCCTGTTTTAAAGTGTTTTATTGAAAGGTATAACAAACCTGGTCCTTTTGAGGATTTCACACAAACAGAGGTAGTATAAAGGAGCTAAACCTATTCAATAACAATTGAAAAGAAGAAAACAAAAAAAAAGTCACATTTTTCCAAACAAAAAAAGCTTTGTTTTTTAAGGGAGGAAGATAGTGTAATGAAGAGCAGTCTATTCTATTTACATTTTTGAATTAAGTACCAATACACTTAATTCAATACAGCAAAATGGCTACTTTTATTTGGTAGACCTCTTAAACACTATTACTATATTAAGCAAGTCCTTAGAAGACTGTTTCTTCTTCATTTAGTCTGAAGTCTTTCCATCTCGCAAGCCCTTATTCAGCAAAATGCTTAATGTGCATAAATTTTGGGTAGTGAGGAATCCCATTTGCACTCACTGTATTGAATGTACACAGTTCATGAATGAAAATAGGTCAGTGAATTTGGTGGGTTTAAACACATGTTTAAAATCAAAGCGGTACTCAGAAGCTTCGCGGATGACTTGAGTAAAGCTCATTTATGGCATACACTCCCAATCCTCCATTCGTGTTCAATAGGTTCTCTGTGCTTTGCTGACAAATAGGATGTGTGAACTTGGTCTGCTGCCATCACTGGAATAGACTGGTAGAGAATTCAGTGGATTTTTGTTTTTGAAGTAGTGTCTTAATTTCTGAGAAGAGTGCAACAGAAACTACACAAGTTGTCAGAATTTGGTTCTGTCATTGCAAAGTTCCTTTTGGAGGTTAAAGGGACAAAACCCAGTGAGCAGTCTTAGGAAAGTCAGTGTTGCAGAAACAAGAGCAGGACTGTCTTTTTCCCTGCCCAGCTGCAAGTGTATATCTCATGGCCATCCCACAGCCTTTTCTCCATGGGATTCTTGAGTGGCTGGTGGTGTCGGGCCAGTAGGGCCATCCTGAGCAGGGGGCCCAGCCCCACCTCCAGGCAGCTGCTGGAGATCCCCAAGGAGGAGCCCCCAGCCCCTCTCTGGGCAGCCTGTGCCAGGGCTCCGGCACCCGCCCAGCCCAGCAGTGCTTCCTGAGGGGCAGAGGGCACCTCCTGGGCTCCAGGCTGGGCCCGGGGCCTCTGGGCCTGGCCCTGGGCATCCCTGAGCAGAGCCTGGCTGGTGCTGGGGGACCCAGCGCTGGGCACAGCACCCCAGGGGCGGCCTCAGCAGCGCTGAGAAGAAAGGCAGAGACTCCCTCCTGCAGTCCCTCATCAACTTTGAGAATACACTTAATTATGATTGCACCAGACAGCTCAGTGAGTGAGAAATTTGTAATAAAATGCTGTCTTCAAGCCCCTGCATTACTATTATGAATTGTAGGGTATTATGAACTGTTAGGGTCTTCCATTCCTCACAGGTTTCTGGAGTGCCGCAAATGCTGTGTTACACCACATCCCTCTAAACCAACCTGTAAAACTCCCAACACATCTCACCTTTACAGCTGTGTTGTAGCTCTGTTGTGCTGCAGCACAAATCCCAGGTATAGCATCCAAAACAAGGCTGGGCTCTAAGAAGTGTAGAGGATCAAGATTTCATCAGCACGTTCAGGATTTAGCTTTTCAAGACAGAAACACCAGTGGAATGTGATTAATTATTTTCCAGTGTATTTCCATACTTACTTGGTATGAAAAAGACTGAGGACTGATAGGTATTTTCAATTCCTTTTCCTCTCTGTTTTTAAGTGCTGCAACCATATTCTGGTGTGGCATTCCAAGACACAGCTCCTGTTGTTTTGCAGTCAGGAGGGCTCAGCTCCCAAGAAACCCAGCCTGTAATTGCAGATATGCAATAAATAAATAAATAAAATAATAATGCTTGGTTTGTGGGTTTTCTCAGTATTTTCCTTGTAAACCAGTTTAGGTATTCAAGAATTCAAGAATGTATTTTACCGTCTCACTGCAAATCATTGAGCTTGTTTTATTCAGTGTTTCTGTTCTGTTGCATTTAATAAACTTAAAGTGGAACAACAATTTATTAATTATTTTGACAAACATACTTTTAATACTTATATATATATATGATATATATATATTATATCAATTTTCTCTGTGTGCAGACGTGCTTTCATTCCAGTGTGCATACCACTGGTTTTCCACAGACAAATATCCCAGGCCATGCTGTTACATGAAGGAGAGCATGTAACATTTGTTTGCGTTTTCTCAACTCTGCTAAGATCTAATATGTTTCTAGCTGGGTAAAAAGAAGCTATCTGAATACAAAGATATTTTCATCTTATTTGCATCCATATCATCCCTTCATTTTTCTTTCCTCTTTCTCTTTCTTCCTACTTGCTTTCTTACACAGTCTCTCATTCTTTTTATATTCCTAAAAAACTCATGTTTGTACTTGTGATATACCAAAACACTTTTAAAAGCATAGGACAGCATTTTCCGAAGTCTTCCACATGCCCAAATAGAGACATTTCAGCATGGCCTGATTTCCCACAAATTAGGTGACTGTTGTACATAAAACAGTGCCTCCAGGAGGTGTCTTAGTCACTTCCTGTGGAAATAAGACACAGAAAATCACAATCAGTTTGAAATCCACAAGTTCAAGCCCAGTTTGGACAGCTGCAGGTTGCTGCATGCATGTATCCCGTTAGCCATTGTAATTAGTAAAGTTCTGAGTCACACATAATTGAGACTTTCTTCCCATCAGTAATTGCTCTAGGAGGGTTTTCCTGCAGTCCATTAAGTAACCTCTCTTTTGTTCAGTGCAAGAATGTATAAAAAAGGCAAATTAGCCTTCTGGTGCCCAAAGGCGCAAGCCTAGGTACTATTTCTTTCATTCTCTCTTTCAGATTATTCCATTCTGACCACTACACGGACGTCATTATTTTAATGTTGGATACTCAGACGAGAGTGCCATGGATGTAAAAGAAAGGAAACCGTATCGGTCTCTGACTCGGCGCCGCGATACCGAGCGCCGCTACACCAGTTCCTCAGCAGAGAGTGAGGACAGCAAGGTTCCCCAGAAGTCCTACAGCTCCAGCGAGACCCTGAAGGCTTATGATCAAGACTCCAGGTTGACCTACAGCAATCGGGTCAAAGACATGGTGCACCAGGAGGCTGATGAATTCTGCAGAGCAGGTGAGCACATCTCAGCAGGAGCAGTTAGAGTTAAACAACTCGATGCTGAGAGCTTGGGGTGGATAGGGAGCTGCTTTTGAAGGATTGTGAGGCTGAAAACAAGATATAGTGAAAGAGACTAGCAAGGAACATCTTCATCATTTTGTACGGTTGTGGGATGTATGCAAACTGATGACTTTAAGTGGGATACCACTAGCCTGTGTTCATTAGCATCAACTAAAAGACATTCTCTAATTACGAGTGTTGGGAATACAGAGAGGTACTACTCTTATCCCACATTCTAAAAGAAAGTTGAAGTCTGTCTTGTATGTGTTGTGTGCATCTGCAACAGCCCATTGATGCTTCCCAGTGTGAAACCAGACACAGTGGGCACATGCTGCGCAGTCCATCTCCATGTATACTGATGTTGCATGAAAAGTCCTGGAAATTGCTGAGCAACCTGCTCTAGGTGTTCCTGCTTAAGCAGGGCCCTTGGACCAGATGACCTCCAGAGGTCCCTTCCTCAATTGGTCTATAATTCTGAAGTCCCTGACTGCTCGGGTGTCCTTTTATCTATGTCATGTGCCTGCTCTGTCATGAAGTCAACAAAGATCCCAAGGCAGAAGATAATCAAGGAAGAGTACTACTGTCACACTGTCCATCAGGGCTACAGTAAAACCTAAAAAGCCTGGAGGAACTACAGATGGCCTGAAACATCCTTGACGTTGTACATGGCCTGGAGGCTATGGGTTTGAGACAGAGACAAGCTGTAGTATTAAAAGGGTGGCAAAGAGACACTTTTAGGACTCCATTTAGTAAATATGGGTCAGTGTGGGCTCCAGAGTCCTAACTGACATTCCAGATATTTTCCTTTTTATTGTTAGCCTGAAGTCAGGTGCAGTTACATTTTTGATGCTGTTGTTGCCTAAGTGAGGTAGATTTCTGTCTGTTGCTATAATCTCATAGTCTCATTTTCATTTTTCTGTAGAGACACGAATAACTTAGTTCAGAAACCAAGCAGGGTTTCACATAAATTATTTTTAGAAGTCCATCGAGAAAAGCATAAAATGGCAGAGCAAGTCGAATGGAATAGGCAGCATTCCAGACAATGGACATAAAAGAGCTGACCCTGACTGCTCTGAGCGCACCCACTGGTGTTTAGAGAAGCTGATTCTCCAAAGGGAATGCATACAACTGCACCAGTTTAACTTGGGGACTGCTTAATTTCACTCTTCAAACACCATGCAGTTGTGGTTTTGGTGCAAAACTCATCTTTAAGGCATTCCCAAGGAAAATGACTTGCAGAAGTCTCTTAGGGCACATAGTCTTGGTATTTGTATTTCAGGAAAGTTGCAGCAGGCAATAATTAACAAAAGGGGCAGTAGGTGTTGTAAGTAATAGTTTGCAGTCATAAAAAGAGTTTCCCTCTTAGCAACTCTGAAGTACTTCATCCTCTCTAAGGAATCTAAGAAGTTATAAAGAAAAGGAAACCTTCTAGGTCATTGAGTTTGCTCACTTCATACAATATATTCGCCATGCAGGGTAGATGTGAATTAGTATAGGTCAGCGGTTTTCAACCTGAGGGTCTATGAGGCCACACAGGTCTATGGACTTCTCCTAAGAAGTCCACAAAAGAGAAATAAGAAAAGCCAGTCTATTGACAGGGAGTATAAATTTGCTATACAGACACTCATAATTCCCTAGGAAAAAAAGAAAAAATGTAGGATACTGAAAAATGCTAAAAACTATTGGTATAAGTGGCTGAAATTGATTGAGAGGTTAAGGTTAACCACATCAGGGGGCTGGTTCTACTTCTGATATATCACCCACAGGTTTTTCATTTTATAATTTTCTCCCAGTTTCTCCTGAGAGTCCCCAAACTGTTCTGAAGAATGATAACAATTACTCTGGACTTTCTGTGCCACATTTTCCACTGGCAGAAAGCCATAAATGGACCTCACTTTGTGGTGCTTCTTGGGCTAATGCCAACTGAAACCAAGCCTTATTAGCTTGCACGACATCAACAAAGCAAAGTGAATTTCTCTCCTGCATTGGTTTGGAAGGCAGAGGAGGGAAACATTTCAAATTGACCAAATAAATTCAGTAAATAAACAAGTCAGCATTTAAATGGTTTTAGCTAGAGTGTGAGTGCCAGCAAACGTGCAAGTCAGCACAGGAAAAAATAGACCAGATCTGAATTAAAAAGTCTCAGATATTTATTATCTTCCTTTTATTGACTTGAGTTCTTCCAGCTTAAAAGGCAACAGTGAGCATAGAATATGAAAATCGATGCATCTCCTGCTGTTTATTGCAAATAAATTTGATTTTCAGTTAATTGTAGCAGTCATTTTTCATAATTTATGAGCTGCTGTTACTGGAGAGTATCAGTCACGCTGCATGTTGATGTGTTGGGTGATGTGGAGTGTGGCTTGTTGCAGGGGAAGGTGGAAGTCACCACTGGTGACTCAAATGTGCAAGCAAAAACAAAAGATGCTGTACTCCAGTTCTCCACATAGGATGATTTGAAAACTATCCCAGCTTTGCCCAAAAGTCAAAACTGGAAGAGTGAGGTCCCTAGGGATTTACTACTTCTTTGCTTTTGTAATTTAGGTCAAGTTCATTTGTTACTTCATGCTGTGGAGTGGTAGAGGATGCTCCCTCAGACTTGTTTTGCAGCCAAGTTAAATGGATTAATCTGCCACAAGCTTGCACTGTGCTCCCCAAGCAAGGCTACAGGGTTCAACGGATGTGAGAGCCCCAAGCATCCTCATCTGTCCACTCTGTCTGAAAGCTTTAATCTGTTTTGGTCAATTAAGAACGTGTGAAGTTCATGAATGCTTTATACAGTTTTAAGTGTTGTCAGCTGTAGATCCATAATCAGCTGAACCGTGGTTATTTCCTCCTGACGTCAAGCAGTTCCTTTACCAAACTTTATGTTGAAATGTTGTCCGGTCCCGTTATTCACTTTGCAATCAAACATCTCCTTCTCTCCATTCCCTATGAGATGCAAAGTCACTGGAATGAACAAGCATGGTAAAAGAGCAGCTGATCATTCTGTGCATGTGTGCTATAATGCGAACCCTTCCCCGCACAGCAGGGCACGAGGACAAGCCAGAGCGTTTCCACAAGCATGAAACCAGACTCTGGAAAAGTAGAAATCTGACTGTTTCTATTGGATTCATGTTTTCCACCATGTGATATTTTACATCAACAAATAAAAACGCGAGGAGAACCACATGCTCGTGTGGTTTTGAGCACGGAGAGAAGCATAAATCAGTTTTGGATACAACCTTGAGGCTGAGGGCCAGACCTGCGGAATGAGTTTCAATGATGAATAGATAAGAACTTTGCTGTTCTAAGTGAGGCTGGGGACTGAACTGTCCTGGAGATCAGATCCAGCTTGTAGAAACACATCTGAGCCACAAACACATCTCTAAAACTGGGTCCGGGGCTTGCGCATGAACTTGGCGGTTTGGGCTCAACAACTCTTCTGATTGCAGGGGATTTATTTATTGAAATAGCAGGAGGAAGCCAACTAGACTGATTGTGATCAGCGGTGTTGGTATCTGGCCACAGTCCAGGGCCTGATGCCTCCTACCGGTTAATAGATAAAGTTCCTTAATCCGTCTGACCGAGGCGTACTGTAACAGGAGCGGGGCACATTGTGCCACGTAAATGCACGGTGCAGATAAAGGCACTCACAGGTGGCCAAAATCCTTTAAAGACATTCAGGGCTGCAAAATAAAAGAGTGCATTAATAAATAAATATGTATTAAAATAGAGCCACTAATTGCTCTCCCCGGCTCTCTCATGCAACTTTCTGAACAAAGCGTGCTAATATTTGAAGACTCCTTCACATCGATTTGGTCTGATTTTGAAGCTCAGCAGGTAACGAGACATGAACTCAGGAGTCATTTTTCAGGTTATATTTTTAGTCAGCTAAACAATGGCATCTATTTGCAGCCAAATAACCTCCGCTGTGACTGTGTCAGAATGAATGGCTAAACCGAGTCAAGTTGAGAGTGGTCAGCCAGGGGAAAGTGAGATCACCCAAGGAAATTTAAATCCCCAATATGTAATTTCATTGATTTCAAGGAGCAGAACTGACTCCAATTTCCTACTGTAGTACAGTTGCAAGGTATATATGTATACATATATATTTTTAATCATTTCATTTCCCATTTTGCTTTTCTGTTTCTCCCAGAATATTCCATCCCTCTTTACTTGCAAAAGTGATGATTTTATTGAGCAAGCCCTGAGTTTTAGTCAGAGTCTAGGTTCCAGAGGCAGGAATCCAGCTGTTTTTTGGTCTTGGCGTAGCCACTTGGTGTCCCATTAACCAACACCATGAAACAGGGCAATCTTTCCTATGATAATGGAGGGTCTCATTTGAAGACAGAAGATGAATAGTTCTGCCATTTGACACGTGCTAGATGAAACTGTCCCCTATTAAAGAATAACCAGGCTGCTGTGTTTTCTCACAGGAGCCAACTTCTCCTTGAGAGAGCTGGGTCTTGAAGACGTGACTCCCACACATGGGACTTTGTACCGGACTGATATCGGGCTGCCTCACTGCGGCTACTCCATCAGCACCGGCTCGGATGCCGACACGGAGGCAGACGTGGTTATGTCACCCGAGCACCCCGTGAGGCTTTGGGGACGCAACACCAAGTCTGGGCGCAGCTCCTGCTTATCGAGCCGGGCCAACTCCAACCTCACCCTCACCGACACAGAGCACGAGAATACCGAAACTGGTAAGTGCCATGGCAGCCTCGAGCTCGACCAGCAATGCCACTTCTTGCCACTCCACCTTAATCTTCCTTAGTTGTTTTTTTTTTTTTATCAGACTCAGTGAAAACACTCTTCTAATAGCCCCGTGTCGCGGCCTTTTGTACTGTCCTACAGAGTGTTTGTTAATAAACTGCTGGAGAAGCTCCTACTTATTTATCACAGCGACAGAGATCATTAAGCGGCTGTAATACTTTCCCTGCTTTTTGTAGCGACCTTTCAGACAAAAAGCATTTAAATCTCCCCTCCCCTGGCTGATGCTGCTCTTATCTTTGCTACAGATTTTCGGGGCAGATAATTTCCTTCTTTTCCTCGCTGGTTCCTTGACAGGAGCCGTTTCATTTATGTAAATCGGCTGACTGCTCTCTGAAGGAAAACGGTGGTGAAATATTTTTAGAAGCCTTTTTCTTCGTGAGAAATAAAAGCTGAAGGTCACGAATTTTTTTATCTTGGTAACTTTGCATCCCCAGCTGCAGGGACTCCTGCATGCCTTTTGTAAGTCCTGCGAACCTTTTGGTCAGCAGTTCTGCCAAGCAGTGTAGGAAGGAGAGAGGATTTTGATTCAATTGCAGCTTGACCCAGGGGTTCACACAGCCATATATGCCTTTGCACCTTTAATTCAATTATGGCACAGCCTGCTTCTTAATATAGCTGCTGCGTACAAGTCATCGGGCGCTTGAGCTCAGCTCTGAAAGCTGATGTGAAATGACTGCATTGCTTGTTCTCGTTATGCTTTTTGCCACAGTATTATAGTGACAAATGATGATAACTTTTCCTTTGGAAGCCATGACACAGTGAGACATACACCACCCACATGATTTTATGTTTAACTCCAACAGAATTACAGTGGAATCTTATTAAGTTTCTGTTCAGTGATAATGATATATTAGGCAAAGTTCAAAGATAAACGACCTTCTATTTAACGGATGTACAGAAGAATTTTCTTCAAAATATATCTTTATGATACATTTTTTTAAAGTTTCTTGGTGTAGTATCTTACAGGGTTTCACTCAGTAGGACAGGCAGATAATGCAGTGCCAGAGTTTAGCATTTTACTTCCTAGCCTTGTGTTTTCTTCAAAAGATAGAGGGATATTTGCACACTCCCCAAAGCAAACACCTTGCACTTGCGTCCTGTTCTCTTGTTTCCATGTCCCTCTCCTGTGCTTTGTATAGTGGTGTATGAGCAGCTGTGAACCTATCCCATACATTTTTATTTCCATGCCTCCTAAGAGAAGCAAACCACAGAATTTTAGCCTTTTTTTTCCTTAAGAGAGAAGAATTACATTAGCTACTGGAATCTTTTTCACCGGTTTCCGTAATGCTATCTCTACATGTGCAAATGCAACTTTGTACCTACAGATCACTTACAAATGAAATTATATTAGCAACAACACATTAGCAACAGCACATGCCTTGAAAGGCTTTACTGAAACTAATAACAGAGGAAGGAGTGCTAATGTCAGGACTGAGACAACCTCCAATTCCTCTTCCCTTAAATTCGATGACACACTAACCATTTGTTGAACCACCATAGCAATTAGAAAAGGGAAGACAGCGAGGTGGAGAACATATCTGCAGGATTTTAAGTGCTGTCCAAACATCGAAGTTTATTTGGCATTTGCAGTATAAGGTATTGAGTATTTTGAATGAGAAAGTCTATATCACAGTCAAAAATATAAAATCTGTGTAGTATAAATATAATCTAGAGAGGGATGGTGTGCAGAATCTAATTGTGTTGTTCGTATTGACAAAAAATCGGGGTGGTGGAACACAAAAAATGCAAGGGAAAATATTGCAACCCAAATCATGCTGTTAGAGAGCTTGAGCTCGTACTTGAAACTGACTTCCCTGGGAAGAAGGGAGGAGATAAGAGACATCAACCAGATTCAGGTGAGAAAAAATTGCCCAGAGCTGTGGAGAGACACCTAATTTCAGTGTAGGGACTGCAGATGAATTGGGGGTATAAATGTATCTAAAAACAAGCTACAGAAGAAAAGGAAAACACATACTAAGGACAAAATCTTAAGCCTTCAATGTATACAGATAAAATGTGGACATCTTTATTTTATAATTTCTTGGCACAGGTAAAGGTGTGACAAACATTTGCAAACAAAGCCCTCACAACCTGAAACCTGCTGCTGGAGAACGTGAAGCCTGGGATACACGCAGAAATTCTGTCTAGCAAATTGAAAGGTTGCTCTGTCACTTCACACAGAAGCAGTGTTACTGTGGGCCCTCCGCAGCTAGCTATCACATGGGCTATTTTGAGAAATCCCAGATTTATAGGAGAAATGTTTTCAAGAAGACGTGAAATTTTGCTAATGGCAGCATAAAGTAACATAATGCTATGACTCAGTTTACAGGATACCTTTATTAGTCAATATTAATTGTTGACAGTATTGATAGAAGTTATAGCCTTTAGCTGAAGTCAATATAGAGCTTTATGAACCTGCCATCAATAGAAGATTTTATGGGGCCCATTAAACCAACTTTTCCAATGAAGGTTAACGTCAGCGATTTTTATGTTGTTCATTATTTATCCAAAATGAATAATCAGAATTTGCTTCTGATGTTTCTAAATCCAAAGCTGTCGAAATGCAATTCTACCAAGACATTCGCCGTGTTCTTAGAAAAAGAGAGGTCTGGCTCTCTCAAAAAGCAGGTTTGCTTTTATTTGAGGAGTGGTGATGCCTTGAAGGAACAGATATGCTGCTCAGTAAATGCGGCCACAATCCCCCTCTCTGTCTTTAAGGAAACCGATGAAGTGGTCTGGTTCCATGGCATATTACAGTCCATAAATCACTTGCACAGGCAGCTGGCATGAAAAGCCATGCAATGTTTTATCTAAACTGTTCCCAGGCTTTCCAGGAGGTTGAATACTTTTACTGGGTTAGGAGTTTGTTTTCACTGAACTTAGCTTGAGTTACAACCCTGGCATTGCACTGAGCTCAGATCCTGCACACCCAAAGAGCCCCAATGGCTTCTCCTTGGTTGGCCAGTGTTTTCTGCTCATCCTGACTGGTCACTTGGCAGAAAAAGGGGACAGAGGGGACAGCTTAGATCACCACAAAATCACCACACCTCATCCTGACTAACGCAATCACTGTGTGCTGCTAATGTAGCAGCCACTTAATGAAGCTTAAAGGGTTATTTTGCAGCATGATCACCTAGGCTAAGCTGAAATTGTGAACTCATATCAGCAGTTCAGGTCCATGCACAGAGAAGTGTTTGAGTACTGAACATCTAAGCAAAGAATTTAGGAGAACTTTTTTCCTGTGCTATTTCACACGGTTTCTCAGCAAGACTAATTCAAACAAAAGAAGCTCCTGAGGTGGTCATTTGGATCTGAGCCTGGCATCAACTTAACTGGTGTCACCTCAGGCAACCCTGAACATGCTTTGCTCTGATTTGCTCTGCTTCTTTACTATAGATAAGAGAAAAATGGAGGAGAAGGCAGCAACAGTTTTCCAGAAAATTACTTATTTTGCAGCAATTCAGTCAAAAGCAAAATATTTCTAGTCATAAAGACATCCTCTTAGAAATACAGAACCACAGAGTAATTTATGTTGGAAGCTGTGCTTAAAGCAGGGCTAACTTTAAGGTTAGATCAGGTTGCTCAGCACCTCATCCAGTTACATTTTGGGTATCTCCCAGGTTGGACAGTCCACAACCCCTATGTCCCAGCTCTGGTGTTGACCATTCTCAATGAGAACAACTCTTCTCCTTGGAGGTAGTCAGAGTTTCTACTGTCCACTCTCTCTTGTTCTCTCACCATGCATTCCCAAGGACAGTCTGCCTTTATCTTCTGTATATCCCCACACCTAAAATAGTTAAAAGACACCCACTATTCCTCCCTTTAGTCATCTCTTCTCCAAGCTGAACAAAGACACCTTGATCATCCTCTCATAAAAGGTTTGTAAGTAGTAGGCACTGGTAGAGGTAGTCAGTGAAGTCAGGGGAAGTCCAATTCTAAAAGTTTTGAGGAGTAAACCAGACACATAGCTGCTGGTAACCCCCCAGATTGGATGCTGCCTCAGTCAGAGTGGTTGCACCTCTTGGCCCCTTGAGCATCCCTTTGTCCTGTTTGTAGCATTGCCAAGCTTTCTTTGGCTTCAGGGGGCATGCAGGACTGTTCAGACTGGGATTTGAGAACCTTGTGGTTTTGTACTGTCTAGGACACTCTTACCAGATGTAGAGTTGGATAGCGTTTGTTGGTAAGCACCCATGAAACAGGCTCTGAATATCTCCTTCTGCTCCATAGGGAAGGTCGTATCCTAGGTGCTCCCAAACCACTGTGAATCATGCTAACAGCCTCCCGATGGTTCTGAGCATGAGGTGGGCAAAAAACACTGGTATTTCCATACCTCCCTCCTGCCCCCAGAACAAAACAAAGCAACACACACACTTTTCTGTCTGCCTTCAATGTGATAAAAAGCTTACTGGTTTATCCAGGGCAATTCCTTCAGGAACACTTTACACTTGGGTCAACCACATTTTAAAAATTTGTCTTTCTGAAAGTGGGTTGCTGCCCTTTTTTTATTAAAAAAAAAAAAAATACAATTTAACTTTCAGCTATTCCAAAGAAGCCGAGGCAATCTCAAGATTAATTTCATTTTTAATCAGGGTTTCGTGCTAATTTCCACCAAGGCATGCAGTTGGTTAAATGTGAGAAGAAGCAGGAGAGAGGGGGAGCGGTTTCTTCATTAGCAGGACAAGTCAGCAGTGATTAATGCTCTGTACATGTGCAGAGTGGAGCTGATGTTTCTCTCTGTCGTCATCTCCTCTTGGGAAGAATGTGGGCAGTATCAAGAGGCCACAAGGATCTCACAGACAGGATGAGTAACTTCAGATGGCTTGAGACAGTTCAACCGAGCTGGAGATGATATAGAACTAAATACTCCGTTGTGATATATTGTAGGAAGAAATTATTGCAGCAGAACTGTTGCTGAAGTGTGGAATTTTCT